AATCTAAATAGCAGCATGAGAAGGTGGTTCATTAATTGAAACCTCATTTTCACTGATCAGTTGCCTATTTTTATAATGTGTTGTAGCACATGAAACTACATTCTAAAAGACATTTGGGATTGTCTGTATTTAGAATACTGCCAAAGGTTTCTGGCAAAAATCTGCCAAATGATATATCTACTAAATCTGATCCCATACTTCGGTAAGATAAATTTCATTGTGTTGCATGCTGAGGTGGACTAAGGGAGGATAAGAACTGACAAGTACCTCTCTTCCACATCTTTGCAATGTAGCTAAGAGATATTCCTGTTTCACAGGTATAAAATAAAGCACAAAGATGAAGACACTGAATTTACTTCTTAGCTATGTGCTAAGGAGTAAGAATATAAGCATCTACAAATGCCTTCGTGCTTATGTGTTTGGGTATCCAGTGAGTCTGAGTAATTAATACATGAGTCAAAACTGGCTGGTTTCAAGAGATTGTGTCAAGCCCTGAAGGAATTTCCAGAGTAGGAGGAACTCTGTGGCACAAGCTACTAGTCTGTTGTCCAACTGCTGTCCATGGATATGTCTGCCTTCTTATCATGACCAAATATTGATAACTACAGATTTTCTGTCCCATATGATTAAGGATCCAGTAGCTGGTACCTCAGTTTTGCAGTCATGAAAGATGGATTCATTCGGAAAGCTGGGTTTATGTGTTTGGATTGAAGTGACTGCTACATGACTTTTTGAAAAGGAGAATAAAAAGGTTGTTTTGAAAAATAGTGACAATTATGCAAAATGCAAAAATAAGAAATTGTACCTGACAAGGGGAGTCACTAAAAACTGTCCTCCTCGCTCTTTTTCGATTAGATACCTCATCAGCTGTTTGTCATTAGAAGTGGAATTGGCATTGTTACCCTGAAAACCATTTTTTAAAAAAACCCAACTTTTATAGATTTCATATTTCAGTTTCTTACAAGGACACAATATGCAACATTCTTTTATAAGAAAATATAAGATATATATAATATAACATACAAGAAAAACATAGAATCATGCTGAATCTAACATCTTAATTACGTTGGGGGTATTTATCTGCAGAAAGTGAAGTCTAAAAGACTAAGTAGATCTTCAATTTCTTGTAGTTTATCTTAATTACATTCTGTTAAAAGTTACGTTTGGTTTACTTTTGTTTTGTAATTTTTTCTTATAATTATTTTCTGGGGGGCAGATCATAGAGTCATAGAATGTGTTGGGTTGGAAGGGACCTTTAAAGGTTATGTAGTCCAACCCCCCTGCAGTGAGCAGGGACATCATTATCTAGATCAGAGCCCTGTGAAGCTTGACCTTGAATGTCTCAAGGGATGGAGCCTCCAACACCTCTCTGGGCAACCTGTTCCAGTGTCTCACCACCTTCGTAGTGAAGAACTTCTTCCTAATGTCTAATCTAAATCTACCCTGCTCTAGTTTAAAACCATTGTCCCTTATTCTATCACTATATGCCCTTGTAAACTGTCCCTCCCCAGCTTTCTTATCCTCACAGTGGGAGGGACTTTTTCTCCCTGGTACCTGTCTTGTGGTCCTTCAACTTGGGAGGTATAAGGAGAGAGGTTGCCAGTGAAGACTGAGGCAAAAACGTTGAGAACCTCAGCCTCCTCCTCATCTGTTGTTACTAGCTTGCCATTCTTGCTCATCAGAGGGGACAGTTTCTTTAATCTTCCTTTTCTGGTTGACATATCTGTAGAGGCCCTTCTTGCTGTTCTTTGCATCCCTTGCAAAGTTCAGCTTCAGCCCCGCCTTGGCCTTCCTGACCTCATCCCTACACAGCAGGCAGCATCCCTCTAATGTTCCCAAGATACCTGTCCCTGCTTGAACTGCCTGTGCAGTACCTTCTTGCCTTTTACTTTGGCCAGCAGGTCTCGACCCAGCCATGCTGGTCTCTTCCCTTTGTTTAAAAGGGAATCCTGCTTTCCTTTGCTTAAAATGACTAACTGAAAGCCAGAACTTTTTTTTTTTAAGGAAAAAAATGTTGTTTTTTTTTAAGAGAGAACCATAAGAAATAAGCCACGGAATGATTGATGATGAGAAAACCATGCATATTTCTCGCCATCTACAAATGTTTTCCAGTAAAATTAATCTTCAGGATTAGATTTGCTATAATAAAATTATAAGCAGTGCTCAAAATAAATTGGATATACTGGTATGTCATACCAGCCACTCGAAAAAGTAGCCTAGCATTTCTCAGAAGCTGTAATTGGTATGTTGGTGGTAGGGAGGGAAGGTAACACTTATAAAACAGAGCGTGAGAACCTTCTCAGATGCAATGCTGAAAATGTTAAACTCCCCCATTCCATTTGTGTCCTGGAGTTTGCAGTGTAAGGAATTTATACTGTGGCTACTTTGGTACCTGTTCAGTTTGAATGTCTTATAATTTTGTGTCAAATTCAACAATATAAAAGATAAATGTAGAGCTGTTAAGTCTTAGTTTACAGGGATCTGCCACAGGAAAAATCCTGCAGTATAAGGTACAGGCATGATTAATCAAGGATAGACAGTTCAAGGAGATGAGAGAGGTTTTTATAGTTACTGTTTTGAAAGAAGACCTCTGGAAAGAAGACCTGTTTATAGTATGTAATCTTCCTATACTGATTCTTTCAGCACATTCAAAGGAAGTAAACAAAATTTTTATTCCTGAAATCAACTTTTCAACATTTCTACACCACCACTTGACTGCCTCTGTGATTTGATCTGTTTAGGTTACTTTCCTTCCTGTTTAAGTGATAATATCCTGTCATTTAAGTGGAAAATCGGGAATGAAACATTTTTTGTAAGTGCATTTTGGCAGAGACCACATATCTTCTGGGAACCTCTCTGTCTATGATTGTTGCGGTGATATTAAATATTGTAAATATTACATTGTTTGTGTTTGGATTATTTTGGTATAAATATTCTATTGCTCATATCCTATTTATGTCTACTGCCATTACAAAATACTGTGACAATATTTCAGGTTTATCTGTATAAGAGTTGCAACAACATTTTGCAGTAGCAATTGTTTAGTTACCACTAATTGAAGTAAGACATGTAGTATTGCAGTTTTTTTCATCTTTTTGCAAACTTGATTCAGAAGGGTGCCATGTTGGGATTGAATACTTGTGCTGTGTGTGTATGATGTTTTCTCTTTGTTAGAAGTATACCTTGCCTGAGTATTGTTATGATCTCCAGGATATGATATCCTGAAATGGTTAACTAATATTAAAAACAGTTAACTAACATTAAAGATACTTAAAAACTATATATTAACAGATTGAAATGAAGTGCTCAGAGATTATTCATAAAATGTAGAACATCATCCACAATGTGTCTGTCACATATGGAAAAAAAGAATGTATTGACAAGTATGTAGTCCATTGAATAAATTTATAGACCAAAAATCCTACCCAGGATTGCCAGAAATTAACAGTTTGTCTCCAGTACTGAATGTGAATTAGCTTAAATAGAAGCAGAAGTCCCATTAGGCGGGCAATTCTTTATTGCCTGCATATCAGAAAAAGTAAGTTACTTTGTTTTTTTCTGAGAATGTGACTGTGAAATTTGTTCTTGAAACTTTATCCAGACAGCATGACGCAAGTCTAACTTTTGTATTTGGTAGGGATAAATATATACCGCATTTTCATTTCCTTCCAGAATGAATGTACTAGAGAAACTCACCACATATGATCAGATTTCAGAAGAGCCAGTGCTTGGTTTGCAGTCTGCTTCCAGACTCTTTAAGCGTACAGGTTATTTCATGCCTTGATGATACTGTGCATATTTAGTCTGGCTGTTTTCGTTAAGTCATAAGAAATAGCACAGACTAAAGGAATCTTCTGTATGCTCAGCGAGGTACCTACCCAGCCTAGATTTTCAAAGGAAACGGGATGGCTGTGCTTGAGAACAGGTTTTTATTCTTGCAGTAGCTCATAAAAGTCAGAGACAAGTACTGGCAGCCAACAAAACACTGGAGTTTTTCACGTGTTCACTGAAGGAAGAATATGCCTGTATTCTTGAATAGCAAGGAAAGACCATGATTTAAGATTTTCTCTTGTCATCTGTTGTAGCCATGTATGTGTTGGCCACATCTCATAGGTAAATCTAATAATACTAGTAGAATATGTGGTGCTACTTAATCAGTCTCTGTAATGTTTTGCATTTTGAAGTAGAAGTTACTGGTGTAGTAGTCAAGCCAAGATTTAGGATCTGATATGAACGTAGATCATTGTAGTGTCTTCACACTTCACTGTTCTTCCAAGCAGTGCAAATGCCATACTCTTTTAATAATAAATATTGTGCAAATTAAATTTTGGAAACCACCACCATTGTTTTGTCAACGTGCACATACACCGATTGCTTTGTTCAGATGAATAGAGTTGGGATATTATGATGTAGTATATAGTAACTTTCTTAAGCTGTAGCCTTATATAGTGTTTTATAAGAAGATATAACTAGTCAACATACACAACAATTTTAATAGTGTGATTTGTGTTAACAATACAGATAATGTAGTAGCTGAGGTGAAAAAAATTAAATGTAGTAGACAGCATTTTTTTGTTATAATTTTTGTTTTGGGGGCATAGAATACAAATTGGATAAAATTTGATTGCTAAAGTTGGTTAAGTGTAAAATTAATTTTACACTTTAATTTAAGTGAAACAGTTTTATATACTTGAGAAGCAATTTAAAGAAACCACTGGTTACTTAGGTTATGGTTTGAAGTTTATAATCACATTTTATTAAAGTTCTTTGACACTATGCCTCCTAAGAATGCCTCCGTAAATTGAAATGCTTATGTTAAGGGAAGATATTTATTTTACTGATGCTGCATTATGGAATTTAAATGGATAACTGCTGATTGTTAAGTTCTGTCTGTGTGTGTGTTTAAAAATGTACATTGTCTCTTTTAAACATAGTACAAGAAATACACAGAGAAAAACATTGTGAGTAATAAGTGTTTTGTCCCATCTACCTTTTGACAGGAGAATTAGATGACAGAGAACAGGCAAAGCTGGAAGTAAAAGTATGGGATCCAGATAGCCCCCTTACTGACCGTCAGATTGACCAGTTTTTAGTTGTAGCACGGTAAGATTAAAATCCTCTAATTAAAAAAAATGCCTTTTCCTCTTCCTACTGACTATTCCCCTATATCATGTTACTCAACTTGTTTGCCATTTTGTGAGCCCTTCTCTTTCTCACAGTTAGCTAAAAGAGAAAATCAGACCATAATCTTCTGTGTATTTACTGAAGCTATGACTACGGAAGAGAAAAAGAGTGAGTTCTGGAATATTGCTACACTGCCTGTATTTCAGGTTATAGTAGAATTTGATACTTTATATGTAGACATCAGTCTGTTCTCCCCTCAGAGTAAATGAAACAGGATTTCAGTACTAATATTTCAGTCTTGTATTACAGTACTTGGAAATTTGTAGTGCAAAATAGAAGTTAAGAGTAGAAATAAAGAAAAAGTTAACAAATGAAATGATGCAGAGCTTGCCCAATTTGCATATAAGCTGAATAATATGCAGTGCAATTATTTTGGATGAATTTTGAAATGAAAGTTTTGAAGTGATGCATTTCATTAGTGGAAAAAAAATCTGGTCAGTACAATTTTATAAATTAACATATGATTATGCAGATTTATGAGAGGAACATCAAAGACCTTGGAATTCATAAATACCTTTTAAAATAATTTTTCTACTTTAAAAAAAAAAAAGCTTACAAAACTCTGTAGACTTCTTACTGAAGGACAACTCTACACTCATAAGATACAGCATGTTTTGCCTGTCCTGTAATTTGTACTTACAAATACAGTCCAAAGGTGCTGTTCTACTCATGGTAGAGAACTGTTAATCACAGCTAATATAGGGATTTTTTCCTTAATCACTTGTTTCTTGTGTTTTCTGTAATCTGGTTGCAGAGTGTAGTCTCAGATCTTCTTAGGCAAATAATGCTTTTATGTTATTTCCAGGTTTTGTATTTATTTTTTCTCCATTTTGATCAAAGCATTTCAGGAAGGAAATAGAGAGGTTGGTTTATATTTTCCAGCTTAAATATATGGTGAAATAGGTTGCTGATTTATTGTTTTACGGTTCAGATGCTGATCTACCTGGGTTTCTTCTTTCTCCCCCACTTTGTAGTGCTGTATCCTTTTTATACAGTAGTAAAAGTTACCTGCCCTGATGAATTTCCAAGCAAGCCAATGGGGTAAAGGTGTGAAGATGCATCTGTTCAGAAAATCACAATGTCTGATAGATGCTCCACAGAACAGAACCCATAAAGCAGAACAACTTATATCACCAGCAATGTAATACCTGGACATGTGTGGGCAGACCGTTATGGGGTACCTTAAAAATACCATCTGTGTGAAGATTATGTGCATTTTTGAAGAGTTCATTTAGTGCCTTCACATCCCTTCACTTCCCATTTTGCAGACACTCTGGGGAGATGAAGTGGTATATGGTGAAGCTGAAAATGTTCCCAGATGAGTGTAACAGTAAGCATTCTACTGGGAAGTGACAGAAAATAAATGAAATATTTAGGGGAAAACATTCATCTGTACAATGACATTCTGTGCAATGCTATACCCTGGCCAAGACTGCATTTGTTTAGAAGTTGGTAAATTTTAGTAAAGTTTCTGTTGTGGCGGGAATGTGTCTTGGTCATAGCTGACTAATTGTAGCTATCCAGGATCTTGTGGTATGCAGTTGCTAGTGACTATCTGTAATCAGATGTTACTCAGGTACCACTTTATTGATGTTCTTCCACAGAACTCCATTCATCTTTCTAAGCTGCTTTTGAACTGACAGAAACTATTTCCCAGCTGCTATATACTTGTATTCACAGGCTGCAAGATCACATTTCTGCTGCATTAAGTGCTTCTGAGACAGATTTTCACCAGTTTCTGGAGGAACAGTTCTCCTGTGGTAATTGTGGCAGCTTTTAATGCAGTATGTTGTGTGCTTGCAGGTAAAAGCTTAACTGGACCCTTAAAAGCTGCTTGAGTAACAGTGGAGCGGGTATTAAGATCTGGTAAACTGTGCTTGCACACTCAGGTGATAGCTCTGCCGTGACCTAACTGCAGTTCCCTGGGCATTGGCTGTGCCTGCTGGGTTTCCAGTGAGAACTTTCTTTCTCTGGGTCGTGAAAGTTTTAGTTTTGCAAATTTGAAATTCTGACAATAAGAACTTTTTCCTAAATGCCTTCCTATATGTGATTTTGGTTCAATGTGTGCATGCTATCTGTATTTGAAATTTTAAAAGCATTTTCATGTGATCCTTTTTACGTGCAATCCTTTTTACATGCTGCATCAAAGGCATCGAGTATTCCTTCTCAGGTTTTTTCAGTCTGCTCTGGTTGAATGAAGACTTGCTTTTGTCCTTAAAGGCATCACATAAGCGTGCTTTAGTTCTTTAGAAAGTGTTGAAATACTCTCTTTTTCTATTTGTGTTGTCCATTTGCAAGAACACTTGTATTTGGCCTCTGGCATGTAGGTTTCCCAGTCTGTCTCAGGAATGAGAGGCCTTTTTTTAAGTCCTTGGTCAGGCTGGACCTGTCACTAAGCCGTAGTTTGCAATAAGTTGCTGGGTATAGAGGTAGAAGAATATGCCTATCCTGTTCAGAAATTGGAGGTAACTATGCCAGAAAAATCTATGGAGATTTTGAAAAAAGCTTGAGTACTTGAGCAGATACATGCTTAACCTTGAGCTCCCCTAATAGTCTTGCTTAACTTTGTGGATTTACAAATCTTGAAAGCACCTTGTGGCTACTAATGATGAATAATTTGGGCAAGGACTCTTGCTTGAACTATCAAAATAATCTGTTAGGAGTCGCTTGAGGCATCACACTAATGTGTTCTGGTTTTGAATTGGTTTTTGGGTAACACACTGTTATTTATACTCTGGCAATGAGAATTCCAACATAATTTTCTACACAGAAGAATGGAAAATTGCATGTTAGTCGTTTTGAATTAGAGCTTGATCCTCCCTGTTTTGCTTCCACTTTTTCATTGTCTCTATAAGAGTGATTATATTCATTTTCTGTTGGTTACTATTGATTTAGTTGCAAGTGCTCATGGTATATGAAGGTGTATTTGTTATATAAATTTATCTTACTGTGAGGAAGGGAACACAGTGCAACTTCAACTAGAAGTGTCTCTTTCCTAGTGTTGAGGAAAAGAATGCTCATCTACTGAGAGCAGTAAGTAAAATCATTTTAATTACTCAAGTAGTAATACTCTCTTCTTGCAAGATAATTCAGTATAGTCAGTGGCAGTAGACAAAACTCCCGAAGCTCATAAATGAAAATAAATACATAAAAATCACTGGTTTGAAAGCTTCAACATTAGTGTGCTTCTGGATTGTCTTTACTTGGTGAGAAGTAAGAGGAATCAGAGTTCATTAAAGAGATAATAAAATTTAATGGCAGAATTGCAACATAAAATGATGTGGAAAAGATGGTGAAAAATCTTCATGCCAACGCTACACTCACAAAACTAGCTAGCAAGGTGAGTTCTAGCATCTAATGGTAGGCAGATGGTTTGGCAATAAAAAGGAAAAGTAAGTATGTTCACATCAAGTTTACTAGGCGTATGGAAAATACTAAGTTTGTGTCTGTCTGTTATGTTTGGCCAATACATGTTTATTCCTTTGTGTGTTTTGTATTTCTTGACCAAATTACTTTGAAAACAACTAAATCAGACTTGGAGCTGAATTTCTGTTTGCATCATTTTTTAAAACGAATTTTGATCTATTGCATTATGGACAAATTTTCTGCAGCAGCATTTTCATGGACTTGCTTTTTGGGGGCTGTAAATCTCCTCTGAGACTGAAATTGCAGGATGTAGTAGTAAAGATGATAGCTTAAATCATATCCTGTGAATTAAACTGCTTGTATGTATCAGATTCTATTTCTGTTGAATAATAAAGATTTCACCTATGTCCCATTTCTGTTCCTTTAGTAATGGAGCTGAAGATTAGTTGTGTCATGTAGGAGACATTACGTGCACCCTTTAATGCCACCCTTTATCCTAACTTTGAGAGTCTTTCAGAGAAAGAATGGTGGCAGGTGATTTTCATGTTTTTCATGTCATCTGTCTTTGCAGTCTAAATATCTGAAGTGATAATGAAGCATAGCACTGTACAGGCAGTTGCTTAGAAATGCAAGGAAAACGTGTCTTCTGGAACAGCATCGTTTTGCTATGAATATGTTCTTCATGTCAAATTTTGCATTATCCAGTAGTAAAAATCTCAGGGGTATTTTTCAACTTTAATTAATATTGTGCTGGTGACATGTATCACCACTGGAGAAGTACTTTTTTTTTTTTCTTCTGTCCAAGATTTTAAGTGTCACAAGACGCTCCTAAGAAGCAGTCAGATATTAATTGGCTGTTTGTAAAAGGTTGTTATTGATCGCAATCTAAGAGGTCATCTTTTAGGACTGTTTCCAACTCACAGTGAAGGGTAACATTGATGCAATAATAAGGAAAGCAAAAAGCTTTCCTAATATGTAGGAAATCACCAAAAATAACTTATTTTCTTCAGATACATTAACTCTGAGGTGAGGTGTAGATCTCATTCATTAGTTTGCAGATATGAGGAAAATTTGTGAATTTGCAGATTCATGGATGCACAGAGGTGGTTCACTTTAAACAGATTTGTCCAGAATATTCCCACCCCTCGCCTGGTATCACTGAAACAGAGAAACAATGTATAAAAGTGAACAATTTTAAAATAAACATCCTCAGATTAAAAAGGGTCTCTTGTCTCTGCTAGATTTCTGAGAATATCAGGTAGAAGAAAATAGCGATTTACCAGCCTGGATCTAGAACTTTTTGGATCTGATTTGATGCTGGACTGCTGTCACTACTGGGGAGACAAGTGACTACCTGAGGTATAAGTGCAGTGGTTGCAGATTTTCTTTGGTACATAATGGTCCTTTTCAGAACTAGTTACTGATGAGCTGCTGAATGTTTAGAAAGGTGTTACGACAGTCTCTTGTGTTTGCTGCTTTATAATTTCATTGGCTACCACTAATACAAATCTTATGCAGAAATTTGAACAACTACTTCCTTTAATGTCTTAGACTTGAGTTATAAGAAATGTGATGTATTTTCTGTATTCAATACCTAATCTGATGTTTTGCCTGAATGTAGGGCACACCAGCACAACAAAATGATGATAAGCTACTGCATCCTTAGAGTTCACTGCCAGATTTTTTTGACATAGATGTTGTTGCGTTTTGCTGAATTTGTGGATTTACTCCATCGTCTTAGATGCTGGCACTAGGTTTTCTGTATTTGTTTCATGTTTGTACAGCTGTCAGCTGCAGCCTCTGCTAAAAGTCCTTGAGAGAACAGTCTTGGTTCTGGTCTTTAGGATAATTAAAACACAGAAAACCTAATTAAGGTATTTGGGTATAGCCCTGCTGATATAGCCTATGCAAAGAGTGATCCTTCAGCTGATACCTCTAATCGTTTATCATTCTTGTCCATCTCTCTACCACCTGTGTAATCCACTGTCTGTATGCCTTTTGACTTTAGCTTATTTTGGGAAGCGTGGGGAGTGTTGGTTTCTGTTTGAAGTCTCAGTGCTTTACTCGTTGAATAACTAATTTTTCACTAGCTTGCTGAGCACAGTTTTTTGGTTATATGAGCTTATTGTTATTATTGAATTAAATATAATTTCAATTAAATAGTTACAGTTATTCCTTAGATTGTACCAGCTTAATGGAACATTTACATTAAAGAGCCTGCTTAAAAGAAAACATGAGTAGTTATGGTCTGACTGTTCAGCCTGTGTTAGTTTAATTCTGACCTTTACCTTGGTAGCCGGTAGGTGAAGACAATGATGTGCCTTCTGAAAACAGGTGTTTTTTAGGTTTTTGGCTTTTTTTATTTTCACATTTTTAAAGCAGTTCTTTAGTGATACTGAAAAGAAAAAATCATGCAAGGAAAAATGACAAAGGAAACATTTTGCCTTTGTATCCATATGTTCGTCATACTTAAAAATTAAGGTAATTTAGTGATTTCTAAAATACTGAATTTAGATTTGGATTGCATGGCTAGATTATACAGAGCACTGTATATCACTGTTAAGTTTTGAGCCTAGTTACTATTTAACAGCCAAATGCTCTAGAATTCCTACACTTCATTGGATTGTCTGAAAAATTCACTGTTTTTCACAAGTGTCCAGGGAAAGGTGATCTGGAAGTTACATTGATTTCAAAATATGGCCACAGACAGACACTCCTGTACTCCCCCCACCCCTTCGCCCAAAATGGCACGCTGCCTATGTCTTATGGTGGTTCTTATTTGTTTTACACTCACGTACCCCATGCTCCCACGCAGTATTCCTCCCACAGTTGTGAGCCTCTCCTACTCAGTACAGCACTGGAAGCAATGTCAACTAGCGTATCAGTTCTTACCTCTCTATTACTTATTAGAAATAAATGTAGCTTTATATTGTGTCTTAATTTTGACTTCAGGTACTGGGCAACATAATTCACATGTGCCAGGGCTCTGAAGTCAGCCTAAAAAGTTCGAAGGCAGCTTGATGTGCTAGAGAGTTCTTTGTGAGGATGTACTCTGTAATTTCCATAGCTTACTCTGATTTTCTTTTAGAAATATGGTCAAAAGAAAATAGTGTTAATTATGCAAAAGGATGATAAGAAGCTAGTAGGTAGCAGCAGAAGGGAAATACAGTCGTGCCGCATGCTGCGTTACTGGTTTGAACAGTAGCGACAGAAGGATCACAGGAAAGACTGTTTAACTAAAACCCTTATCAATGCCAGCATGTTTGAAGGGATTGACTGACTATCAGGAAATGTGTTCACAATAGAGCCTTATTCTTGGGACTGATTTGTGGACAAATACTCTTTTATGTACTGCCAAACGTTTTAAAAAAGAAAATAGAATGCGTGTCTGTGTTCTTGTCACCTATCTGCCATCTCTGCAAAGAGGGAGCAAAGGTTGTAGAACAATGTTTGAATATAACTTATTTATTCCACAGCCTTTAGAAATCAAAATCGTTAATAACTGGAGCGTGTGAATCACTGGTGTTAAATCTTAACTGTGTCTTGTAAGTTTTTGGCAGCAAGTACCGAAACATACATTCAGTATTAAATGTTTCGAGATTCAGTAGAACAGTTGTTATTACCAGTTTCTCCAGGATCTATGATATACCTTAGTGAGTTAAAATCTTAGTGTGCATTACATTATTTTATTGTTGTATATTGGGTTTATAGTACACAGTAATGTGACACTTTCAGTGTCTTGATCTCTGTCAGTGATGTTCCGCATTAGTATAATTCTATGTTTACAACTTGTGTGAAATGTAACTGCTGAATAAGGCTCCAGTCCTTTAGTCCAGAGGCTTACACTGTATTAAAAATGTTAGGTAGCTGGATCTTTGAATTTAGGATGACTTATGTCATAACTGCAATAAATATTTTTTTCTGATATGATGACACAATGCACCTCAAGAGTCATTATGCAGTTCAAGGTACTGAAGCAGCTTCTGTTTTGGTAGTTAATAATCTTTCTCATGTGTCGCTGCAACTTTGCTGATTTCCTCTGTGACATCCTGAGCCCACTCAAATTCTTTTTCCCTTCATCATGTGTCCTATATCATGAACGTGCTTCCAAGAAAAGTGCAGTTTAGAACAGTCACTGTCACACTAACTCTCCATCTCTGTTCCTTGTATTTGTGTTGCTCTGGTAAGTCTAATAAATGCCATGTACAATACATCGACAAAGGTGCAACAAAAAGGTGAAAGTTTGGAGAAAAATGTGTCCAGTTCAAATTCTGGAATGCTTTTATTAAGTAGGGTGAGATATCCATGTATTTCATTATTGCATAAAATCTGTGCTAAAATACAGTTTTGGAGGTACCTACTACTGAGCTAATATGCTTTCTTTGTCTTACTAATGGAAGTAGTGGACGTACATTACTGAAATGAATAAAATATTATTAATTTCCTCATGGGAACATGGTGGAAACCCTTTTTAAATTGTATTGTAACTTGTTAAACAGTGTTTTGGCTTTTTAATTTTAAAAATAATAGTCACAGTTGTATAGCCCAAGCTGAGTAAGGTCTTTTGACTTCATAATTAATTGAAAATTGGTACATTAGATTTCTCTTGAGTATTTTTTGTTTCCATGCTGTTGTTCTTATATGAAGGTTGTTACATTCTGGGGGAGAAGGTCAGAATTTTTACTGCAGTGCTTGGTGATTTGTCTTTATCAAATTGTCCTTTGTTAACAAAGAACTGAAATCTTAAGAGTAACCGTATGTGACTTTTATTTTTAAAAGAATGCTTTTATAGATGTGACATAGAGTCTGCTAATAAAAAAAAAGATTAAATCTTTCTGTGCATTTACTGTCTGCTGTTTCTCTCTTCTAGTGCGGTTGGCACATTTGCTCGAGCATTGGACTGCAGTAGTTCTGTCAGGCAACCTAGTTTACACATGAGTGCAGCTGCTGCTTCCCGAGACATCACACTGGTAGGCGGCTTCTTAAATATCCTACAACTTCTTTTTTACATCTGTGACTTCAACAATATCTATTTTTTCACATTCCCTGTGCTCCAAATATCTGTTTTCCTTTAGTTACCTGCGCGCAAGGTGCCTGCGTGTATGGCTGAAAGTCCTGTGTGTTTTCTGTAGGCATGTTGGTGCTGCCCTTGTAATCATACTGTAAATCACTTGACTTCAGTTGAAATCTATTTAAATGCAACATCTTCATATGTGATAATTTGCACAGTGTGGTCGATAATATGTATTGTATAGGGATTCACTCAGTAGAACTGATCAGTAGTGTAATTTAAAGTTTGTGGTAATAAAGCTGGTTGAAAATTGTTTCTATAATGTTTTGTACTTACTATACATGTGTCAGTAAATTTTCTAAAGTATAAGCAATCAAACTTTTTAAAGCAACTTTTTGAAGAGCATTTTACTTAGGATGTTTCCTAGTTTGTTAGAGTATTCACTGTACTATAAGTACCTGTATCTTTTAGAGAAAATTAAAAATATATCAGTTACAGACCAAAGTTTTCTCTTTGTGTATTCACATTAACTGATATGACAAGATGTGCTACGGTAATAAAAAAGTGCCAGGAAAACTGTGAGAACAAAATCTTACTGTTTTGTAGAGTTGAGTTTGACTTAGATTTCCAAAGACATAGACAGGAGTTGTTTATTATTTTATTATTTGTGTACAGAATATTAAAGACTGTAGTTAAGGCTAAAGTAGATCTTCTATTCATAAGATACTTGAGTGTTTGAACTAGAAGACACTCAATGAAACTAATAGATCAGTTTAAACTAGTTAAGGTACTGCCTTATACAGTGGCTAGACAGGCCTGAGAATTTTGTTATGTTGGTATGGACAGTATCAGCAGGTTGAAGAAGGAGTTAGAAAAATTATGGACCATGGGGGTCCCTAAAGGGGTGCTGAGGAGATCAGGGAGACATGTACCATCTAGTAATCCTAATTCCCAAGGTTTGTAGATGCTGGTGAATGAAATGGGAATTGACCTCAGACTGTATTTAGATTTACTTGCATATTTTCTCTAAGTAACATCTCTTGGTACTGCTATTAGAGACCGTGTGCTTAGCTAGGTGGATGACTGCTCTGATTCAGTAGGGCAGTTCTTACATTCCAGGTAAAATATACTCGTTAGTATTATGGGAAAAATATTTAATTTCTTACATTTTGCAGTGTACTCCAAAGTTATTAGAGTTATTACAGGAAACTGATTTAGTCTGGACTATGGTAGTTTAGTAAAGGCAATGCCAAAATGTAATGTTTTCAGTAATACTCAAAATGAGCGTTCTGTTTCACAGTTGCTGATATGACCTTACCAAGTAGTTCTGACCAGGTTAAGTGCTTTATTTTTTCCATCAAATTAGTTCTTTAATTTATCATTTTTCATTTTATGAAGATTTTATTGGATTAAGAGTTTCTAATAAATCACACATTGTGCATCCTTCTTACTGTATTCAGTGACTAGTAGAATAGATTCGTCCTTATGGCAATTTCTTATTGTTTGAAAGTACATGTGCAGTGCTGCTAATAAAGGGATACATCTAGTATTTGAGTGCCATATAAATGTTTCTCCATTGCAAATGATCCATTAAGTTCCATTACAATTAATGAAAGGCATATCTTATAATGAGGCAGCAGAGGAGCCACCCCAGGTTTAATTATTGTCTGTCCTCTCTCATTTTCCTACCCCCTCAGCTTTTTAAACCCCTTCTCCTTTGCTCTTCGGCAATGTATCTCCTTCTAAGTTAAGAGAAGACACATTTGTCATTATAGTAGTTATTCTTTCAGACATTCCCATGTTAATTGGGAACATATTTTGAGCAGCAGTTAAAGTTAGGACAGACATTTCCAGAACTTGTGGTGTCTCTCATCTATACTTTGGAAGGGATGTAGGTGCATAATACTAAGAAAATTATACTGTCTGTATTCTTACTGCAAGACAGGTAATACTTGCACCTAAAGTGCTATTAATGGGATTTCTATATCCTACACCTGTGGCTTTCCAGTATTTCTTATTAGTTGTTTCAACTAGAGATGACTGGAAACAGACTGATGCTAAAAAAAAACTATGCAATAAGTGCATAGGTTATAAACATGAGTAAATTCAGAGTGCGTGTACACATTAGGGAAGTCTTTCAGCAGCTTAACAGCAAGTGAGAAGCTACTTTCAGGCTTCCTTATTTTGAAAACATGGGGAAGGTGATGAGACTAGGCAGGAAACCTCCAATGCTTTCAGAAGACCCTACTGGAAGACGTGAAACAATGTGTGTTTTCCTCCTTAGATGACAGTAAATGTGGGGTGTTTCTTGTTTTGGGCTTTTTGTTTGTTTGTTTTTTACAATGATACGGACTTCTGAGACAAATAACCAGCAGAAGCCTGTATTTCTGGCTTTTTCAGAGGAAGTGTTTTATTTTATAATGAAAATTGATCTCTGAGAAGAGAAGGAAACCGGGAAGGCTTGGAAAATGCCTGTTAAATGCTGTTTGTCCACAAAAGCTGCAATTTTAACAAAGGTTTAAAGCCTGGTAACACATATACTGTAAGAGTTCAGTCTTTGTGCCTATTTTACTCATTGCCTGAATGATAAGCAATAAACCAATGGTTTCATTTTACATTCTGTAATTTGAAGTTTATCGATTTTAGACATTATGTTACATATTTCCATATTAGAATACTTCATTTTAACAATAGCTTTTTCTCAAGGCTGGTGAATTCAACTTGAACCATAAATTAAATGACATATTGTAGGATAATAGTGATATTACTTCTTGCAGACAAAGCAGTTCAAGAATCTTGTGCTTGACAGCTTTCAAAGAGGTATATTGAAAGCTGGAGAATGACTTTAGCCACTCATAGGAGATGGCAAAAGATAAGGAGACTTCATTATTTGGAGTACATTTGTATGCAGAAGCTCAACTGGAATTGTGCTCTAAGTGCTATACTGACATATAATACAAGAGCGTTCCTTCCTTGAAAGGTTTTGGGTGCCCCGTCTCATGAGACGAGTTTAGGGCTGTGTGAGAGGTTGCATGCTACAGGTACAGCTCATCGCTGTGTTGACACAAGTAGGTGGGAGACTGACGTTACACAGTCACACACATTATTGCTCCTTATACCTCTAATACCTTCTTCAGCACAACAGCTGAAGATTGTGGTGATGGGGGCTTTTGGGACATTGAGTCAGAAAGGCTTCGTGTATGAGACAGCAGAGGTTAACAAGGGACAAAAATCTCACTTTTCAGTATGATGATAGTGAAAACAACAAATTATTCCCTTCCCCAGCTGTTTAGCTGCTATGTAGAACTTCTGTTAATTCAAAATGGCCTCTCAGTCAATATATGGCACTGTCTCTGTTGGGTCAGTTGGAACCAGTTTCTACCAGCTAAAGATTCTCTAGAAATGTTTGCTAGTAATTTGCAGGAACTAATAAACTGATGCCATTTTTAGTAAACACTTTATTAAGACATTTCCTTTTCCAAATTAAGTAATAAACAGTTTATTTTCCTTATGTTCCACAGCAGAAAATCTATGATATCAAAATAGATTCTAAATTTAACATTAGTTGAGGCTTCTTGCATGACTTACAGTAAATAATACATTGAATTTGCATTAACTGAGATGTTAACAAAACTGCTCTGTATTTAAACAAGTTTTTAATTCTCTCCTTCTCCTTGCTAGTTTCATGCAATGGATACACTACATAAGCACAACTATGATTTGAGCAGTGCCATCAGTGTTCTAGTGCCAGTTGGAGGGCCTGTCTTGTGTAGAGATGAAATGGAAGAGTGGTCAGCGTCAGAAGCCAGTTTATTTGAAGAGGCACTGGAAAAGTATGGCAAGGACTTCAATGACATTCGACAAGACTTTGTAAGTATGAAAGTAGTACACCCTTCTGTTACTGTGTTTTCACATGGGTGAACATAACTGCTCTCTGTAGGTTTGGAAGATGAGCTAGAGGAGAAATCTGTGTCGCTGATATACGTAGTGAACATACATATACATTTTGTCTGGGTGAAAATCAATATGCTTTCTTGTTCGGTGCCATTCTTTGGAAAGATGTCGACAGAAGAAAATGTGTTTAATGTTTTAATACCAGGTAGGATGTCTTGCGCTGATGTGTTTTGATAAGGATTTTTACTAGGATTTTACAAGCTTCTGAAAAAGTTCCAGCAGCTTTTCAGAACTTCTCCACAATTTCCAGTGAAATTCATTAGCAGCTGCATAGCTGACTCCCCTGAGTGTTTTTATAAAGCTGGAGTTTCCTTCTATGGTTAGCAGAGAGAAATTTATATTCATATAGCTTTTAAAGTGCACTGCAGGGAGTTATCTCGACATATTAGGTATTTTGGCACTTCTGAAAAGCAAAAAAAATGTTTTCTAATATGTTCTAACTACACTGGTTTTGGTACTAAGTATCAGACTATAGGGCAGCTTAAAGCAAAGCTTTAATTTGATGAATTCTAATGCACAGTAATTAAAAGAAATTAATTCTAATGCTGCTGGCTTTGCTAGTAATTTGTCTGCAAATTTTTTTACACGTTTCTTGGAGAACCTCTTATTTTCAAGGAAAACGTTTCCTCTGTTGTACTAAGTTCAGGTTGGTCTTTGTGAAAAGTTTGGGATTTGAGCCAAAGGAATTCCATTGTTTAAGACTGAAGTCAATGGAAATGTTTTCATAACAATCTCATTCTGCTTGACTCTGAGAGCTCAGATATTTTTTTCTTTGCAGATGTTGCTAAGAATCTTTGTGAGGGGAAAATGGTACTGTATGGTAAATGTAGAAGTTCTTCCACGACAGTGTGGGACAGTGGGATGAGGCTTGGCACTGAGTGTCTTTTCTTCACTTTCACAGTTCTGAAATGAAACAGATAATTGAAGGAAGGTAGGAAGGGAAGGTTATTGTTTTTGTGAAGAACTGACATTTTAACAAGTGTATTACATCTGCGTGCTTAATTTTGAGATTCCTAAGGGAGAAAATGTTCACTGCATTCATCACATAAGGTTGAAAATTGCATCATGGATGAAATAGCTCTGTTAAGTTCAGGAAGATGTGAGTAGAAAAGAGTATCTTATAGAGTTTTAGAACTGAAATCTTAATGTAAACTACAATCCCTTATTATTTCTTATACAGATGCATGGTCCTCAGCTGTAATTGCACAATAGTTCAGTAGCTATGCCTTCTAACAGAATGTTTCCTAAGACGTAGTATTTGGCTTTTCAAAATGCCTGAAGCGCATATTACGGAATTATTGGCTGTTGACAAGTTGAGTCCTAATGCAGTTTGTGCCCAAGTATATCTAAGCATTGTCTCTGGTATTTATGCAATATTTTTATTGTCCGTATAAATTTCTGTGCTACGTTACATGTCATTTTGTTGATGCATGTACATCGAAGTAGTACAGCAGAGTAATGTGCTGCAGGAATCACTTATGCATTTGTACTGCTCAAATGCTGGAGGTTTGAGCGAATCTACTAGAACGTCTTTAAAATATTCAATTTTTGTCTTAGGTCGGCTCCTGATAACCTCCCTCTTTCACTGAATTTTCCCTCCCAGAACACAGATATTTTTCCTTGCCCTTCTCCCAAAGTGAGAGATATGCACTGATTTAGAGACAGGGCTGTGTAGCCTACTGAGGTCACATTAATGATGAGTCAGAGTGAAGCAGAAGTGGATATGGGGCACTAATTAGTTTTAGTCTCACTTATTTACAACAGGAATGTTGTCTATAGTTAGTCAGATGTTTTTACCTTTCAAAAAGTGGCATGTCGTTCTTAAAACATTAGGAGAACACCTGTTTTACATATCAATTTATGCAGTATTGATAACTTAGGGCACACAATCGATCTAATTCTATGTGACTTGGAAGCTTTCAGTTATATTCATCATTGTGTAATCTTGGGATATCTTTATTTCTCTAGAGTAAAATTTAAGTGTTCTCACATGCTATGTAGCATTTTAAAGGTATAGGGATTAAAAAAAAATAGGGTTTTAAGTAAATATCTAAAATAGTCCTTCAATATTTAGATCATGGATATATGAAAATTTTCTGCAAGGTGAGGTCGGTGAGAATTTGTAGCACCTGAGTAGTGCTCATGTTATCCATGAGAATACATTTATCTGTTGTCACCTCTCTCTTCAGTGGCTAGTCATTGAAAAGTAAGCACTCTTATATGTGGTGTAACAGCATGGACAGAGAAGCTAATGCACTGGGAGCGTACATGCTGACTTGTTTGGTTGTCCATGTAAGACCTAATGATAAAATTATATCCTGCAGTGCCAGAGACCAAGCGTGAACCTGAGCAGTCATAAAGTGGTGCCCCAGCACAGGCAGGACTGTCATGTCGCATGGCAGGAGGTGGTTGGTGGCCGTCTCCTGAAGCAGAAGGGTTGGGTAGTGCCTGCTTGAGTCATCCTATGTCAGAGGAGCTGCCTTTGCTGAATCCTCCTGAATTTGCAAGGCATGACAGCTGTGATTGCAGCCCTTACATGATAGCTCTCTAAAGGGCAGGCTCATTTACTTTTCCAGCAATTAGTAAGAACTGGCACTATTTGACATTCATTGTGTGGCTCAAGCATTAAGCTATAATCATTAAATATTGGTAAGCAAGACAATTATTTTAAATTAAATGGTATAAAGGAATTTACCTTTTTTAATAGACAAAAGCTCATTTGTTATCAAATTGCCTGTCTAGCCTTTGAATAATCATTTTCATCAGCTGTTACAGGAGCTCATTTCTTGAGATTCTGCTGTCTTTAAGAACCTATGTGGATTCTAATCAACCTAAACTTAAGTTAATTGAATTTATTTGATTTATTTGAATTACTTCATATCCCAGGATAGTAGAATGAGAGAAGACTGAATATTTTATGTTCATCAAATTTAACTTTTACAAACAGTGAGAGACAGCTGTTATGCTTGTTAATTCTTAGCTCTTAATTATCACAAGTTTTCACAAATTTGTAACTGTTACATCTCAAAGATGGCAGGAAAGACCTTGGGAATCAGACTTTGAGCCACTTACAGAAAACAGGAGCAACAGTTTTCCAGCTTCAGGAAATAGTGGAAATATGTATTAAGGTTAACAAGTTCATTTTAAGATGCTTTAATATCTTAAAACCCAAGTTTTTCATGCTGGTCTGATTTGAGTGGCCCAAATCAGACCAGAAGAAACGAAAGAAACTGAAAACACCCGCTCCCTGATTTTGTACTGCTGACACCTCTTTATTAATTTTCTCCTACAAAAATGTCACACAGATGGTAATTTTCACTTCTTTTAATTAGTGTTTAATAAAATTTGGTCATGAGAGTGCTTTATTCTGTGGCTGTTCACGGCTCTGGCAGTCGAGAGCAACCTCTGGAAAACTCATGTGCCTCTATGGTGTTTTGTCCTTTAGGTGCATGTGTAAACAGAATACGGGATGGTCATATTCAGTCTGTCAAAGAGGCTTTCTATTGTGAAAAAAGTGTAGAAGGATCATGATTATCCAGTCCAAGAACCTTCATTATCTTTCTTTTATTGTAGATGCCTACTGAGGGAATGAACATACAGGTGTCACAGTCATAGTTAAAACAAGTATTTTCTGGAGAAAAGGCAAACATAGTAGCATGAATATGTTAGTAAGTGTTCAGGAAGGAAAATAAATATGGAGACATTAAAATGTACTTGGTGACTGTGTTTCATTTGGTTGCCAGGAATAATATGGACCTAGAGATTGAGAAGCAGCTCACGTCACCTTATACCAAGCTCATGTTCCCATCATTGGCCTTTTCTTGGGCAGATTTCTCTTAAGGCTTAATTTACCTGAGAAAATAAAAGGATTTTAATAAACCAATTCGTGTTGCTGTTTATTAGAAAATCATGTTACACAGTTGTTACACTGCTACTTTTTAAAGAAATGCAAATAGACAGGGATTTACATATTGTGGTACACTGCCTGAAAAAGGATTCACAGCTGACTCTGGACCTGAATCCCAACTCCCAAAAGGCAGAGGTGGAAACCAGTCTCATTTCCTCTAAGTGTCTGCGAGCCAGCAGCGTGAAGAAGTGACTGGCATCTCCTGCATGCAGGGAGAGACAGCTTGCTATGGGGTTCCTCTGTTGTTTTAGGAACTTAATTCGAGGTTCAGGGACCTACTATTTTGGCTTAAGACATGCGAAAGTCCCCAAAGTGAAGTGAGTAGGGCTAGAAAGATAAGTTTCCACACCTGTATTTTCTGAGACTTCCTAAAAACCATCCTCATTTCTGGAAAGCAAAGAGTATTAATGTTAATGCATGCCTCTAGAAAATACCCCACACAAAATAGTAGCGTGTTTCCAATTTAGGAAGAAAAATTGCATTCATTTTGTAAGAAAATTACTAATTTAAATGATAGATAGAATTTATGGAGTTAAATAGATTATTTGTTAATAATTAAAAATGGCTGCTGCGTGCCTAATTTTCTCCTATAAACTTAAGCTAATGCATTTACCATTGAACATGTGCACCCAAAATAATAATCCATCGTCATCATCAGTTGCCCTGAGTTTGCACAGAGATTTTTGTGAAATATTCATTGTCAGTTACTGCTTTTGTTGCTCAAGGTAGCTTTTGTCCCTAGCATCCTTCTGTTCCTTGTTTAATGGTCAAGAGTATGCGGAGGCTATGCAAAGCTAGTGCTTTGTATGAGCGGCTCAGTTGTTACAGGACTTGAAAAACTTGGGAACTAAGTACAGTACCCCTTGTACTTTCTGAGAGTAAAATTGTCATGAGACTTGAACACAGTCAAGATGGTTTATTTTAGTCCTGATGTTGTTCTCCATCTGATACACTTTATAATAGAGAGATTACCTTCTGCGTTTCCTGATGGAAATCTGGATTCTGTTTTGATCATTTTGTTTAATCATATGGCCTAAATAAATTACATTCGGATTTAGATACGTAATATTGCTGTAATCCTTGGTAACTATAAGGAAATGTTATGTATTATTAATGGTAATATGTATTCATTTGTGTATGGATTTTAATGTAGGTATTTAATACATTCATATTGTAGTATTTGTGTATCAACTATACTTGATTTTAACCTGTTTAATGAGCTGTGGACATGGCAATTTCTTGGAACTGCTCTAATTTGTAACATGTTTTTCAGCTTCCTTGGAAGTCGCTGACTAGCATCATTGAGTATTATTACATGTGGAAAACCACTGACAGATATGTGCAGCAGGTAATTTAATGACTATTTCAGCATGAACCATTCTGCCACGTTCTTAAAAAATCTGAACTTGTTAAAGCATAAAAATCCGTGTTCTTAAAAAGAAATATGGTAGGAGGCCTATGGTAATATTTCAGGCTATAGACCCCAGTGGTTTTGTGTTGTTCACAGGGCACACTGTCAGGTCCTCTGATGCCTACTGTATATCATACAGCTGTGAAGAGCTTTTTAAGTCATTTATATTGTGTGCTGGTTTGTAGCAATGTGATCCCTGGTTCTTACGGCAGGATGGGATAAGAAGGAAATGGGCTGCAGAGCAGATGCTTTAGGCTGTGAAGCTGTGCATGAGCCTGAAGGAAAAATACAATGTGTTAAAGTGGCTGCTAATGTTATGAATCTTTTATTGGTTCTCCACAATAAAACATTACTTTGGCATTACCAGGATTTAAAAACAAATTCGCGAACATTCTGCACACATTGGATGTGTTCATCCTTTTGATTGGATGTTCAATTGTTTGGGTTGCTCTGGAACAGAAACATAAGATTATATTGGGTACCGATACTGGGATATTTTAAGCAGGTTTAGGCAAAGGTTCAGTGTTGGTGCTTTTTATACATTGCGCTCTTTATATATTTAATCCTTGGTTGAGATACAGAAAATACTTTAAAATATTCCATTTTAATTTATGATTTAAAATTTAAGTTTGTAGCTCCTTTACTTACTGCATAATTAGTGGCGATGTTGTGTACAGCACGTTGAAAATAAATTTTATGCTGTAATGATTGCAGCTGTACTGTGAGATGGATTTCTGGAATTGTTCCAGATTGTGTTACAGTGTGTCAGAAGGATGATTGCTTCAGGTTGTTTTGGTTTATTTGAAAGCATTTCTACATCATCTTCTTAGGGTATAGAAAGTAAGAGAAAAATCTTTTTACCACACAGTAGTCTTGAACTATCACTAGGACCTTTTAGTTCTGTGGATAATACAAATTGAAAATAGCATGCTGTGTATAAAGATATGTTTTTCTGGGTTTGTCATCATTCTTTTCGCTTTTAACACTTTTTTTGCACTGTTAATCTTTATCCTGGAGAGATATTGCCAGCAGAGATTTGCTGTACTGTTTGTCGGCTCTTAAAGATTGGGCAATGGGTGATCTTGAAGAATCCGATAAAAAGATTTTATTGATTCTGCAAGCCATGGAGTAAGGATAAATTGAAGTGCAAACTGACTTTGTCAACACTCTTAGGTTGCTCAGAGACTTACCGTTTTTCCTGTGAAATTTTTCTGAAATACTTGCTCTGGAGTCCTTGGCAGAAGACTGAGACTCCCTTTTTAAAGTTCTCTAGGGCTTCATTGTGATTCTGTTGCTACAGTGATCAAGATGTGTGGTGCTGTGTTGGGTTTGTGTGTCCTTTCACAGGATTAGGTTTTTAGCCTCACATACAAGAAAAACACATAGGCATTATGGTTATCTACAACTTGAATGCTCTTATTAATGCCTGTGTTTTACTTGTAACTAATTAAACTTAGAACATCCTAACTTAGATATGACAATACACCACAGGACTTAATGCTTTAGACATATTCATTTGAGGTCATGCATGATCATCAACAACAAAACCAATGTAGGCCAAATACTTCATTTCTATCCTGGCTAATGTTTCTGTAATCCTTCCTAATGAGAGATCCGAACTTCATCCTGTCTGTGTTTATTTTGTTCTGAAATGGTAAAAATAATACAGTTCAATAAAAAATAGTATTTGTAGGATTTTTTTCTCCAGCAGAACAAGCTGTGATAATTTAATGCTTTTCAGCATGTTCAGTAAGAAAGTGGCAATTTCAGAGTCATTCTCTAAATATCATGCTTGAGCGGTAGGACAGCCTGGGGAAATGTGAAGACAAAAGGATCGATGTACATACTTGAATCTTATGCATAAAATACAGTCTCTGAATTCTAGATCAGTGTGATTTAATATGAAAGTGTGCTCTTTAATTATCTTTATTTCTTTGTGCGAGTTGGCTGCACTGTGTCAGGCATAAGAAAGGGTTCCTTGTCACAATTGCTACTAAATGTTATTCTTACTTGGTAGCTAAAGGTGGTGATTTAATGGCAGCAGAGATACCGTCTTCAGAGCACGTTCCCTTCAAGTCAAGGTGGAGGGAAATAGATATGTTAAAGTCCGCAGTGTGATGAACCGTTCTGGCAAAACTAATTCAAGCCTTGGGTAATCATTCTTGGTGATATGGCACTTTTCATGACCACTACATGATATAGTGTTTGAAGGACATGTGGCTCATTCCACTGACTGAAAGCTGTTCTCATTATTTGTGGTGTTCTCCTTAAAAATATGATTCAATGCAGAGACTTTTACTGAGATTTTGCAATAGAAAAAGGGAGAACATATGCAAGGATAATTGAATTACTGTACTACAACAATATATTACATTTCCTTTTCGTTTATTTATTTCCACTGTTGAAAACAGTACTAACCTAGGGAAATGATTGTTTCTTGGGATATTTGTCAGTTGACATTCATACCAAAAGTTCTTAAACAGAAATAACATTCAGTTTCAAGGGTAGCTGATTAAAAGTAGTAGAGCCCAGGTGAAAAGCTGGGTTAGTGTAGCTTGATTTCCCCTACAATGCAGTCTGTAAGACAGTTACTTTTAATGATCAGATTTTGGTTTTGTTTTCAGGAAAAGCATCAGCTCTCTTTGTTATATTGCTCCAGTGATTTGTTACCCTTACTGTTACAAACTAGTCCTTCATTTCTTGTTTAAATGTTTTCAGTTTCAAGTTCCAGCATTTACAGTTTACCAGTTTTCTTCCTCTGTATTTCAACAGACAGAGGTTTTGTCTCAGAAATGGCAACTATTTGTTGATAGTTTTGTTTTTGCATCCTTTCTTCCCTCTCGATATTTGAAAGTTGATAGGTCAGTGTGAATTCGAGCTGTGACATTTTCTGTTGCTTTTAGAGAGCACCATTAACCATAATTTTAGTGCACAAAAATACAGCTTATACTGAAATGACATTGTGTAGTTATTTTGTAGAAGGAACTATGTCATTCACTTTAGTCAATAAAGGAGGAAAGCAATTGCTAAAATTGCATTCCTTACAACCCCCTTACCAATGTTAAAAGTATGCTAAAATTTAATTAATGTGTTTAGGCACTTCTCACTGACACTGTCATCAGGGCTTAATACAGCTTCCTACAAATGCCTTTACCTTTTGACAGTGCTTCAAGGCTGCTTTCCTTATTTCTTTCCCTTTATTGCATTTTTGTCTTTTGCTCTGATGATCTTGCAAAGTGTGCAGTGAGATTTATTCGTTCTTTTTGTGGAATAGTACCAGTTTGTTATGAACCTCTGCAAAATGCAGGTTACCTGCTGAGCTGTGGGCTTGTGTGCTTTCTCAGTTTGAAAACAAATTCTGTATTGTTGGGCATAACACAAAAAGCAGAAGAGACAGTTGTGGAAAGCCTGTGGCCTGAAGCTGTTAAGCTTCACCATTGAGAGCTCTTCTGCTGGGACTGTGAAGTGCTCTCAGCTTAAAATCTATCAGTTTATGAGACTTGGAGCATGCTGCTGCTGTTCTTTCTCCCTGCTCTTGTAAAAACTGGCTTAAGCAGGCAGAGTATATTTGCATTTTTGCTGTGGGCCTGTTGAAGGTAGCACAGCGTTGCCAAGACTGATGCTGGGGAAAGAATACAGTTGCACCAGGTGTATCAGTGGAAGTCACTTCTGTGGCTCCAAACACCATGAGGCATCTGTGAACAGAAAAAACCCGTAAGGAAAAGAATAGCTTATCTTGGAAATAAATGGAAAAGGGCTTTCATATTGCATGGGAATTAATTTGTGGTGGCATGGACTGCTTAGGAGTCTATTTGTTATAGAGTGCTCTTCAAAGATGCAGTTTTTATAAGTGAGAGTTATGGTGATGGGTGGCACGGGAGGCTTCCTCAGGCTACTTGACCAGTAAAGCTGATTAACCCCGTTACTCACCTCATGACACCAGCAAGAGACCCTCAGAGCAGAGTCTTTGGATGATACTTTGCTCAAGGTGAGAAATGTCGTCTTGGATTGTGAGCATTGCACAGATTGCATATCAGAAAACAGGAGTATAGCAGAGAAGAGAATTGGTTGTTGTAGGAGCAAAGGAGGACTAAAGGGGGAATATTGAGAGGCAGGCAGGTACTGCTGATTTATTATTGCTGGATACCAATGTACCCCTTTTTTATTTCTCCTCTGTAATAGAATTGACTTTGTTTCAACTCCTTTTTGTTCTCTCTCTCTCTTTTTTTCCTCTCTCCAAGTAAACAGAAATAATGTCTTGAGTACAGGAAGAGTGGGGAAATAATCTTTTTTTCTTTCATCTTTTCCATACAGAGAAATGTTTCCAATAACCAGTAGACTTCTGAACTCTGTTTCTTGTGCCATTGCTGAAAAAATTGTCATCTTACTTACTTGTATAATATACGGCAATAACTAAAACTTCTCAACATTTTGGAAGTTACTATTACTACCATGAGAGCAACATATGTTTTGAGTTTGTTGCAAATATGAAGAAAGTAATAGTTTAGTAAACTCATAAACTATCCTGATAGTAGTGTAACTGTGCTGCTACTGCTGTGTTCCTGAGCTACAGTTTTAATGGCATTTAATGGAAGTTGATGTTTAGTTATTTCTAACAGTCAGTGGACTTTACTGTTCCCCTTCCTTATAGTGCATATAAAACACTAGCCACAGGCTTGACAGAGCACACAAGAAGTATTGAGCTGCATGACTGACTAGGAGCTCATCATGTGCAATTTCACTGATTTATTTTCTACTTACTCTGCAATGAGGGTTAGCCACAATGCCCTACGTGTTTATGTAGAAGTAATTTATGTAAGTGGTAATAGTGTTTATGGTTTTGTTGTCATATGTGAAGCTTGAGTGTTACTGGATAGGACAGCATACTGTCATTTCAAACTTGTAATAAGAATAGAGAACTCGTTTTTCATGGTTTTCATCTTGTAGATTTCTACGCTTGTTTTGAAAGCTCTTGTGGAATCACAAAATAGAAATAATTTAAAGATGGATTGTCTGCAGTTTTATGAAGTCTTATGCTTGAATATAATAAAATATTTTAATGTGTTAATTTTTCAACTAGAAACGTCTGAAAGCGGCTGAAGCAGAAAGTAAATTGAAACAAGTATACATCCCTACCTAGTGAGTATAACAACAAAGTCATTTTTAATAACATGCAGCTAAAATTGAAACATGTAACATGCATGTCATAACATGCATGATATTTTCTTAGTCATATTTTTAATAGTTCCTTTCTTAGTATTTGTTATATACAAACAGAATATACAGAGATATAATCAGCAAGTACCACAAACTCCTTGTCATAAGCCTTCGTACTTAACTGAGTCCCTTATATTTGATCTGCAGACTGCCTGTTTTGCAATGGTGAGAAGCTTTACAAAACATGATAAAATGCTGCATGAACTGCTCAAATGCAAGAAGAGCCTTTTCATTTAAAAAGCACTTTTTCCAGAATAATCACTTCCAAATCCCTGTAGCACAACACTTCATTTTTGTGTAAATGCAGTATTTGAAAACAGAAGCAGTTGTAAATGTAGTTACATAAAATAAAATCAGATACTTTCCCATTAGAGTTTTATCTTGTTGATACAGTCTGGTCTTCAGCTAGAGACTAGAGATATTCTGGCTGTAAATTAAAGGTAGCACACAGCCCAAAAATCTTTTATCTTTGAACAAGTCTTATTAATAAAATCTGCTTTCTTCTGAGGCGCTTTTAATCTATTTTTATAGATTTAAACTTGAAGCTCTATCTGCTTTTGTTAACATGTAGTTTACAGAAGCAAGATACAATCTGTCTCTTTCATATGCATAATTTCCTCATGATTATGAGGAGGGAAAGGATTACAGATTACATTCTTTTAAGCTTTCTTTGGGTACATTCAGTTTACACACATCTGAGTTTCCCATTGTTATGAGGGTTTGTATAACAGAAGACTAGAATACCAAATTAAATACTTTGAAAATGCACTATTGCCTTTTGGCTGACTTGTATAAATTGCGTATAATAGAGCTTTATTTCCATATTTCATACAGACTTTACTCTCTTAAACAAATTTAATAATACAAACAGCAGGCTGTTAATTCCAGTCTTTTAATCTCATCTCTGAAGAAATGTGAGCTTTGAAGCTCAAGTCTCTAATAAATGATGTCTTTTTAAAAAAAAAGCTGAGTGTGAGTGTTCCCTAAGCCTCTCAGGAAAGTGGCTGCTTTAGGAAAACTGTGAGATGCTCAGTCTTTACATAATGCTTTTTCAATTTAGTTTAATTTCCTTGGTCCATGCAGACAACTCAGGATTTTTGCCAATATGTCCACAGTAGGGACTAGTGGTATTTGATGACAAACCTGTTTTGAAATGTAGGATTTTTGCTTTCTTTATCTTTCTTGCTGTCTGTCTTCCACTTCCGTGTCAAGACAAAATCCATAATCAATGGTAAAAGGGTAGGATTTCAGTCTGGGACACTTGTGGGCAAATGGATTGCTAACGCTCTGTTTCAAGACTCTTTGTATTTTAAATCTGAGTAAAATTGATTGTCAGAGCTGAAAACCTCTTTGATCTTGATTGTAAGGTATTTCCTATAAAAACAAGATTCTTTCCTCAATAAGCAGAGAGTCCCTTTCAATTCATGGCTTCTTTTGCAGGTAGCTAATCATCAGAACATAACGTGGGAGACTTCATAGTCTCTTGATCCCTTCTCTTGTACCTTGAGCCCAAGGTACTTTTCTTGAAGGTACTTGATAAATAGTATCTGGAAACTGTAAAAGAATCTCTCTAGTCTTGATCTACTGAAAAAGGAGAAGGCAGTAGACAAACTTGCTGGCACTTGGAGTAGAGACTTGATACAGCAAAGGTTTCTTCAGTTAGTCATTTTAACCAATCTTGAATGTATTTTATGCCACCTAAAGTAATGACTAATCATCTTAGGAATCAAAGTATCCAGCCTCTCATTTTACTGAGAGTATAGCTTGCCAGAGGGGTAACTACCACCCACAAAGCTGGAGCTTTGGAAAATCTCACTTCACTGAAGTATCAGTAGGTAAAGTAATAATCATCATAATAACATAACAAAAAAATCCAAGACCAGTTCTTCAGCCTTCTCAGAGTGAAAGTAGTTTAGGACACAACTCAAGCAGAATAGCATGATACACAGGTGAGCTTTGCCAGGGTTATAGAGCATTTGCATTTACTGTAGTTGGTGGGACGCGATGTACTTCTACTTGAGATACGAGGCAACAGGCCCTTGTCTAGGGTGACACTTACAGGCAGTGTTACTACCCTTACTTGTTATACTTCACCCAAAGCTCAGCCTCACCTTGTAACGTCTCATCTGGAACCCCCTTCTTAAATTATGTACTGTGTCAGGCATATGTTAATGCTTGACGCTGAGTCTTGGTCTTTTACTAGCTTGCCAGGTAGCTCAGACCATGTGAGAGCAACAGCTATCTGTAAATTTAAGTATCAAAGCAGTTCTATACTTGGCAAGTCTTACAGTGCTGAAAATACTAGAGGAGTATGAAAATTAGTCTTCTTGTTCAGAGCAGCTTTTACAGATGATGCTAGGGCACATCAGAATTCCAGAATTAGATTGTTTTCAACTAACTGGTTAGTAAAATGGAATTTTTAATTTTTTTTTATTTTCATTTAAAGCAATAAACCAAATCCCAATCAAATATCCAGCAACAATGGGAAACCTACTGCAGTCAATGGAGCAATGGGAGCCTCTTATCAGGCACAGGCCTCACTAATAGGTCGGGCTTGTGAAAGTTGCTACAGTAAGTAAATATAAATATTTTTTTATATTTTTTTTAATAATTCAGAATTTTGAGATAATTTAATATGCACTGTTTCTTTAAAAACAAATGTATGCACTTTTGTTTGCATGCTATAGAAGATAATTTTCAATGAACTGTGTTGCAGAAATTGTTTTTAAGTTATAGCTGCTTTCAATATATTGATTGATTAGATGTCTGTATTCAAGTACGCTTTGATTTTTTTATTTTTACTTTTTTTTTTACAATTCAGAAAGTACAGAAAGATAAAGTAATGTAATATGATGGTGCTGATGAGATATTCCTTTGCTTTCAGAATACTAGATTCAAGTTTATTTTTTGTTCGCCTGTAAGATTGCAGTGGTTTTGAGTTGTTGGAGTTCTCTGGTTTGGTTTGGTTTTTATCTCCTCTGTTGTTGGGAGGATGAGCATGTTGGTTTTATTTTCTAGTGTTTTGCGTGTTTCTGATGATTGCTGTTGAACTTCCTGAAACAGCAGCTTTCAGCATAGATTATGTGAGAGAAGATATAATAAAATCCAGAACTGGAAAGAATTGAAAAGGCCTACCATAAGAGAGTTCTGATCATTTCTATGGCTGACTGTTTCTTAAACACAAACTAAAATAATATTTTGTCTGTAGAAAGTTCCAGTTATATACTTTGTTTTTCCAATCACATTTTTAAAAAATAGTTTTCTTGTGAAAGATCGCAAAAAGAAAAAATGATTAAATTAGTGGTCCTGCTGAGTGTCCACATGCACAAGATAAAGGTACATGTGCATCTTCAAGGTCAGTAGGTGTGCTTGTCCTTTTCGTATATGGATCTTGATTTATAAGTACTTGCTTTGCATGACTTGGGTAAAAAACCCAGATTTTAAGTAATTCTAATAAGTAACAAGGAACCTAAAAAGCCTGTCTTCCAGAATTAGAAATAGTGGAGGATTTATAGAGTTGGGGGTTTTTTGGTAGTCTCCTGAAAAAAATCTCTTTACACAGTCCCTGATTTGAAATTAAATAGGGAATTATTTTGAAATTGCCATTTGGAGTTTACCGTTGGGGTGCATTTTTGAGAAAATAAAGAAAAGTTCAATTTCTCATTTTCTCTATGTCAAATGTATTAAATATTTATCCATATAATGCTACATATTATGGCCACATGAAGCCATCTATTTCAACATTTGGATTTATTATATTGAATCCAGCATGCACCAGTTTACCTGTGCTGTTTTCTCCTCCTTAGCTTCACAGTCTCACCAATGGTATTCCTGGGGTCCTCCAAATATGCAATGTAGATTGTGTGCATCTTGCTGGATTTATTGGAAGAAATATGGTGGCCTGAAGATGCCCACACAGACAGATGAAGATAAACTATCTTCCAGCCAACCTATGGAGGTAGGATTCTGTAGGTTAACTTACCTAAAACAAAATGTGGTCTTTCACAATATGTAATGAATGCTTTCTTATATATAATATATATGTGTTGAACTTTAGTGTTATACAACTTGGTTTATTAATCCTTTTCCTGTCTTAAGTAGAACTGAACAGTGTGCAGGTCCTGCCACGTCTCTGGTTGACCAAGTTTTAGATAAACATTGACTTCATGGATTTTTGGTGGACAAATGTAATTTTGTCAATCAAATGGTGTGTTATCTATAAAATGTTAATATTATTATACAATATCTCATCTGGAATGGCATTATATATCCACTCACAATACAGTTCTCTACTCTGTGCTTTACTGCTTCTTATAAGCCCCAGTGTTTTATATAGGGTTTACACATATTCTTTGATTAGCCTTGTGAATTTATCCAAATTCTGGATTTTTTTTTTTTAATGCTATAATTCGGATGTATGTGTTACGATTTTCTGTTTGCTTTTGTAGGAATCCCATGTTAGAACTCACATGTCCCGGCAGGCCACACAGGGAACTCCAGTTCGTAATACTGGGAGTCCAAAGTCGGCAGTGAAAACACGTCAAGCTTTCTTTCTTCACACAACGTGCTGGACAAAACTGGCCCGTCAGGTCTGCAAAAATACCCTCCGGCTGCGGCAGGCAGCAAGACGTCCCTTTGTCCCTATTAACTGTGCTGCCATTAAGGCAGAATGTAAGATGTTTTTTTAATTCTTAGTTCTGTGTGCTGTGCTTCCCACCCATTTTTGTCTTTTAATTTTATTTTCTTTTTCAATAAACATTTCTTGTCTATACGCTTTTGCTTTTCATTTTTTCATTTGTCCAGCTTATCACCAACACATTGGATAAAGTCTGGCTGCCTTGAACAGCTTTCAGCCTGGGGGAACATTTCAGTTGAATTAAAAGGGAAGAACTATTACCTACAAACTCTTAGTTACAAAAAAAATTATCATTAAAAAAAAATTGGAGGCAAGGAGGGGAAATCAATACCATGATATAAAAAACACGCTTTCTACTAGGCAGTGTGAAAGAAGCTTGCCTTTATACTGTTCATTTATTCTTTTGCTGAACAGAAAGTATAGATCTGTATATGTTTTACTTTTTCTCAGTGGGGTTGGTGGAGGAATAAGGAGCTGAGGATGCGAAGGAATTTGAATCTGGCCTGTAATACAACCTTTTGTTTCTGTGGTGATGAGATGGTGGTGATAGCCGTGTTTATTACTTCATCATAGTTGCATCATTTTTTTCGTCCATTCCAGTGTTAAATTTTAGTTTTAAATAAAGTTCTATATTATGCTTGTTCTTCTAACAGCCAAAGTACAATGAACAGCTAAATTAACTAGGAGTATGACGAAAGGTTATGAGTTGTTGCAGATAGCAACAATAACTCTCTTTATGTGTATATGTGTGTAAATTCTGCTGCAAGGTCACTGAATATTTTGGCAGGTTTTGTGTCTGTGCTGAGCATGTTGTTGTATTGCTTGCGCTGTTTGGTTGTGTTTCCCAGCCTCCCATAGATGCAGTTCTTGGAGCAGACTCTTGGTATTGCAAGATGAGCCATGCTGGCTCATCCTACTGCCAATTGTATTAGAATTGAAGAGACCTTTTTAGAATATTAGATGTTGGTTTTATAATCATGTTTACTAGATCAAAGCTAAATGTTTTCCCAGCATATTTAACTGGGATGCTGATGATGTCAGTGTAGATTATTAGAAATTTACTCCATGGAGGCTTAAAATCTGGTTTTGAGTAATTATTTTCCCCTTAAGTACTTTAACACCAGCCATTCTTCATATGCAAACTCTCTACCTACTTCAGCAGTCATACAGAACTTGGTGAATGTTATTGTTCATTGTCCTTGTCTTATTTATTTAGCTGTCCTGTTGGCCATTTTCTTTCTTCTTTCCGAGCTATGCAAGTCAGGAGCAGCTTTCAGATTTAAGGAAGCCATATGTCCACTGTGTGATTAAAATAGGTTGTACTTTATGGAAGACATGTGTCTAGGGCTGGACTAGGATTATATTTTTAATCCTTAATACAAAATGAGAGTTAGTTTCTGAGATAAAAGCATTATACCTTTTAATTTATGTAATTGGCACTGATTTCTGCTGAATCATGAAGGAAAATTAATTTTAGAAGTTCACTTGAACCTTGAATCTTTTTATCAATATCCCTATTTCTTCTCACTCACTGCAGTAACTCAATTTTAAAAAAGATGAAGCTTTTGTTTAAGGAAGAGAAAAATAAAAAGAAACCCCTTTCATCTAACTATTAATCATCAGAATAGAACAAGTTATATACACAGTTCAACTTTAAAACGAAGGAGCGAAAAGCTGAGCTTTTCAGCAGAAAATAGTCATTCTTGTATCAGACTGGGAGAGCTGTGAGTGCTTCCTCTTTGTTTCTTTGGATGAAAAAATGCCACATCAGATTATTGTCAAGAGCAGAAACATTTTATTTCCCCCCACCCCTCTGCCCCGTAGTCTCTGTCTTTCATTGTTCTTTTTACTTAAAGCAAAATTTGGACCTTGCAATTTTGTCTTTGAATTCTGTTGCTTCCTAATTAGACCTTACAGAGATTGAAAAAAAAGTATCTTGTCAGTGCTTTTTGAACACAACATTCAAATTATTTTGTAATAGTGGAGATCAGATTATGCATAATTTTATTAATTTAACTCATGTTTCTCCATGTGTACACACATTCACGTGCACATATTCTGTTTCTGGCAATCTCTTTCTCTGGAATCATACAATTCTCTACAATGCTCTTAACCTGCATTGTCTTCACCATATTCGTAATTTACTAAAGCCTAGTAAGTAAATATAAAAAATTGTTTTCTAGTTTTGTTCATGTAATTACATCTGGTGACCTGTGTTCACTGCACTCTAGATTTTAATGTTGTAACTTTATCTTCCTAAATGCCTTGAATCCTTTTTAAGGACAGCTTGATGCAAGTGATTTTTAGAGGAGATATTTAATTAACAGTAATGATTTAATATGTTGAATACCACTGAATAATTACAATATTTAATGAATGTTTGTGTTAGTGTAACCCAAGTTAAAATTGTGCTTAGATAATAACCTGGCCAGAAGAGCAGGTCACCCGTGCTGTGATATGGCATGAGGTGGTTAGGACGTCCAAGAACTGATCTGGATTTTTTTCTCCCATGCTGGTGGGCTGAGACTTGAATCTAATGAGTGCTCAGGTGCTCATGTGATTCTCTGTGTGTGCCAAACAAGCACATGATAATATAACTGCACTTCACAACTATATTGCAGCAGGCACCATACCAACACTCAGAAGCCATAAAATCTAAAGATGGTAGGGCACTTACCCCAGCAGTGTACCAGGTTTTATGCCGCCTTAGTCTCATGCAATTTGTTGAAGTGCCAGGTTGTAAATGAAACTAATTCCCAGTTCTGAGAAAGCCAATCAGAGCTTGCTCATAAAATAAATGGATTTTTCCAGTCCACCTGAACTCATCTGCAGATACTTCTTTTGTCTTGGAGGGCATTGAAGCCTCTGAGAATGCTCATCTCAAGCCCAACATCCTTTTAGGTGAAACCAGATTTCAGATAGATAATTTTTTTATTCTTGTAATTCTACCCACATCATCTCCCTTGGCCCATTGCATCCACTGGCAAAAAATAAGATCCTATTCTATGTTGTTCATTCCTTCAGATCACAGAATCACACAGAATCGCTCGGTTGGAAAAGACCTCCGAGATCATCACGTCCAACCGCTCCTGTCTACCCCCTAAACCATATCCCTAAGTACCTCGTCTACCCGCTCTTTAAATACATCCAGGGATGGTGACTCCACCACCTCCCTGGGCAGCCTGTTCCAGCCTCTGACAACCCTCTCAGTAAAGAACTTCCTCCTTATCTCTAACCTGAACCTCCCTTGGCACAGCTTGGTGCCGTTTCCCCTTGTTCTATCCTCCATCACCTGGGAGAAGAGACCAGCACCCACCTCTCTACAACCTCCCTTTAGGTAGTGGTAGGTGGTGATGAGGTCTCCCCTCAGCCTTCTCTTCTCCAGGCTAAACAACCCCAGTTCCCTCAGCCGCTCCTCATAAGGCTTGTTCTCCAGACCCCTCACCATCCTTGTGGCTCTTCTCTGAACATGCTCTAGAATCTCAACAAATAGTTGAGAGAATCTCAACAAATAGTGCAGAGAATTAGATTTTTCTCATTAGTGAACCATATAGCATGACCCCTGCTCAAATGCCAGCAGGAGACGGTGGAGATGATGCATTTGTATCCCAGTTCAGTGTAGGGATGTTCACCAGAAGGTTGAGAAGGCATCTCCTGCTAGGAGCACAACCTGCTGTGAAAGTCTCAAACTTTGTTCTGCCTGGCGATAATAGACTTGCTGTAGTTGTTGACAATAAACTTGTCTGATGGATGTTTGGGCACAATTAGAATTGGTGAACTGTTTCAGTAAGAGGAAATTCCCATGCTCTAAACTAGGTGAAATACCTTCTTTATAATTTGAATATACTACTTGCTTTTTTTTGAAAGTTAACCAAAGCTACCCTGTATGTGGAAGATCTCTTTATTAGAGGAAACTATAGTGGGCATTCTTCTCCAGCCAGCCACTGACAAGACTGGATCTGTCCCCAGCTTACAAGCATGTTGATATATTCCTGGCAGTGAGCCATGTATCTGTGAACATTATTACTTCAGTACAGGAAGTTTTTTGAGGTTTTGATTTTTTAAAATTTTTTTTTCCTGCTCAGACAGAGTTTATCAATATAACTATATGTACTAATTATAGTAATTTTGAATTTTGGTAACTATACTCTGTCTATGTAGACATGATTGTCAAAACGTTTTCACTGGATGGTAATACATTATCTGTATAATTTATATAGTTATCTGAAAATGGGTATACTGTTCATGTTCAAAACTTAACATACCTTTAAATCTGCAGATTTAATAACAAGTTTCGTACTCAGTACCCACTTTATCTGATTTGATAAAACAAAGACAAGTGAAAATTAGACTATGCAAAGTGTTACTGATTTGTCTTTGTAAGCATACAGCCTATGGTTTGCTGACATAAAACGACCCATTCGTCTGAAGTGAGGAACATCTATGGGTATTGGTTCACAAACAATGTTTTACATTCTTGATTTTGATAGCTATGGAAGATCTTTTGGCTGCATCTAGGATGAAAAGATTTTCTCTGCTGTTATCTTTTAATACAGTTTGTGCTAGATTTTAGTAACCAGTAAAATAATTAAAAGAACACCCTGTTTTTTCCCAAAACTTTCTAAGAATACAATTCAGGGAATACATAGAGCACAGTACATTCATTAGATAATCTGAATTTTGATAGAGATGTGATGGAATGTCAAATAGAACTAACTCCCCAATGAGAGTGTCTCTGAGCTGAAGAGACATACAAACCTAGTTTAAAAGAAGGAAAATATTAAAAACCCCTTTCAAATCTAAAAGAACAAGCCTCATTCACTATCATCTTTTCCATTGCATTCCTGGTTTTATTGACCTCTGTAATACCCACAACAGTCATCACTTTTCTAGGTTAAGAACTTGGTCTGTTTAAACCCCCCTAAAGAATCCATCTTATGCTGTGATTCGTAATGGTGTTCCCTGGAGTTTTTCTGATTGTACTGTATACTCTTTAGGATTATGGTGCCCCGAATTACATGCACTTTAAGATACAGGTCTCCCATCATTTTAGAGAGAGTTGCTTTTTTTTTTCTATTTTCCTATCATCGTAATTTCTAATGCTACAGTTTTAATTTCTTTTTAAGTGACCATTCTAGTATTGTCTCAATATTTTTAGAAAGCTGTTGACGCTGACTCCATGAATTTTCTTTTGCGTGGTGGTGGTGTAGAACCCATCATTTTATCTGTATGTTACAGTCACTTTACCCTTAAAGAATTAATTTACATTTATAACTCAATGCTGCTTACGTCCTTTGCAATGAGTTTTAGCTTTGGTTATGCCCAGTAATTTCTTATTAGGAAACTTTTAACTCCCTAACCACCTGTTTTCCTGATCTTTTTTATGTTGAACGGCACAGATCCTTTGGGGATTACATAGACAATTTTAATTAGGTGCTAATTCCTGTAAAAAACTTCTCTCTTACCCTGTAACATCTGGACAGCAATGGTCTTTGGTGACACAGATTGTTAAAAGCCAACTGAAATGCCAAGTTAGATGCCGGAGCAGCTGCATGTGTACATGTCATGATTTGTTCAGAGGGTCCTGGCAGACCCATGACACTTGCAATCACAGGTTTACAGGATGTGTGGGTAGAAAGGGACCTCTGGAAGTCTCTAATCCCACACCTGCACAAAGCTCCAGTGCTCAGGGCCTTTTGTCCAGATGAGATTTGTGTATCTCCAAGGATGCAGTCTCCATGGCTTATCTGGGCCACCTGTTCTGGTGTTTGATCAACCTCACGGTAAATAATCTTCCTTACATCTAATGACAATTTCCCAGCTTGTGTCTGTTGCCACAGACAGCAATAGTATGTTGTCCTATCCCTATGTACCTCTTAGAAGGATCTGTCTTGGTCTTTTCTGTGCTCTGCCGCTAGGTGGTTACAGGTGGCAATCAGGCCTGCCTTTGGCCTTCTCTCAAGGCTGACCAGACCCTCAGCTTCTCTGTGTACATCCTATATCCAGCCCCAAACCAGACTCTCCAGTAGCTTGACTTTCTCCAGTATTTCCATATCATTTTTAATGGGGATCCCAGAACTCAGCACAGGGTCTGGATGTGGTTTCCTGAGGGCTGAGGGGAAGGGTTACCTCCCTTGCCCTACTGCCTGCACTCGGGCTGGTAAGGCCCAGTATGCAGCTGTCCATGTTGCAAGGACACGCAGCTGAATAATGTGAACATGTTAAACATGTTTTCCCTTTACAAGGTCTTTGTTGGCTCCCTCAATGTTTCCATATTTAGTTGTATGCCTCTATTAATAGTTCAACTCTTTTCCCAGTCTGCAGACCTACTTACTGAAGAACGTTACCACGTTTGCCATGTTTTTGTTCTCTTGAACTGAGACCGGTTTAAGCATTAGTTAAACACCAGTAGTGTATGTGCTCAGCAGTTTCTCTTTGGATGAATGTCACCTGGTCTTGATAACTTGTTTTTATTCATTAACTGGTTTGTTTTGAAATAGTTCCTGTGGATACCTTGATGTGACACAGTTCTCACACTTTCCTCGTAAAAGAATTTTGGAAGTGGGCTTCTTTAAGTTCTTCTGCAGTGAACACTGATGTAAAGAGTGCATTCAGCTTTTCTGCCACGCCTCTCTTTCTTGTATATTTTCCTCACACCTTGGTCATCTCCTGTTGCTACAAGCAGTCGCACAATTTCTGCTTTTGATATGTTTGAAAAAATACACTATCAAATATAATACTTTTTTAAAAAATTCTTTTTCACTGTATTACTGATCTTACTAATATTTTTATTGTTCAGATGGAAGAACAATATTATTTGGTTTTATAAATTGTTTTTAATTTTGTTTTTGACAACTTCCTACCTAAATCTTATTATACGGTTTTCCACTTGAGATTGATGCACAATCTAACTTCAGTGTTTTTCTGTATGGAGTGCATAAAAATAATGAACTTTATTAAACTTTTTATGGGAGTACCGTGTTGTGGATTAACGTTTGCTGCTATTGAACATATTTAACTGTTTTACTAGATAGGTGTGCTTCGGAATATCCACTTGGTACCTTTGATGAACACATATTGCCTCAAGCATGGAAATTGTGCTTTCTTTGTAGTCTGTGTTCTCAGTTAGCATATTAATATCTCACCATGATTCAATGTCTTTTTTTACAATGAAGACATGTAGATGGAAAATTTTCTTGCTAATTACTTCTTAGGCTATGCTTTGCTGTTCCCAAAGTAACTAGAAAATACTCACTGTGTAGTCTGTGCTTATTTTACTAAGGGAGACAGTGGAGACACATTGTTCTGCTCTGTCACTTAAAATATTTCAAGTGTTGTGGAATATTAAAAATATTCCAGGTACTAAGTTCAGTATATTTTTTTCCTCTGAGAACATTGTATTTTGTTATTAAAATAAACTAAGAAAGTTAAAGTTATTAAACTAATAAAATAAGAAAGTACTCTGTGTACTCAGCATTAGGGCTCTGGAACCTTTGGGCTGCCCAGATACCAGCTAGCATTTCCAGAACTGCTAGTAGATTCCTTCATATGTTGAAATAAGTTGTGTATTTTCTGCTGCACTGAAAACATGCTTGAATATACCGAAACACTTCTTTCAGTCACTGCAGTTGTTCTGTGACCTACATGGTTTTTGCACAGAGCTAGATAGAATATATAAAGAGATTGTAAATTGTTCTGTGAAGGGTCTTATCCTCTTTGTGTGACTGTGTACTCCATCTTGTCTGCTGGAATGAAGCAAACGGGAACATTTTGGTAAAACACAAGGTGGAGACATAGTGGAATTATAATTTTTACAATCTATTTATAATATCTAGTTCCTGTAAAGCCTGTTATAAAACACAGATCTGCATGTGCATATGTGAAGCCTATACAAGCAAAGGTGTACATATAGGTATGTGTACAGGGGAAGTAATTCCACGTGAGAGAACGCTAGCTCTACACAATCAACGTATGAATGCAGTTTTGTACAAAACAGAATACCTGTGTTGTAGGGATACTGGAAGCCCTGTATGGGGATTATTTACGTGGTTTTGGAAGGCAGATGATCCAATCATTCTGAGTACTTTTTTTTAAAAAAAAAAAGATGGTTTAGTTCCAGTAGTTTTGAAACAATTTACTGAAACCCAGTGTCTTGTGAATTTTTGCCTTAGATTGACTGACTTAGCTCAAAGCGTGAACCTCTTCGTAATAAAACTTCTATGTCTGGGGCATTTATACACATTCTCTGCTTGTGTATTTGCAATACCTTTAAAGGTGTTAGTTCATAGTTGTAGCATCAAATTTAAGGTAGTTACTGACCTGCTTATTTTCATTTACTTTACAGGAAGTTACAATTTTTGAGCTCTGTCAGATGTGGTTACAACTGACCACTTTGTTCAAAAGTTTGCTATAGTAAAGGTTTGGGGTTTTGTTTTGTTTTTTTGGTTAAGTGGGTTTTTTTATGCTTCACCTTGCCATGATAACCCCCGTGTTCCATATTACTTATTAAGAATTATATGAATCACCGTACCACACAAGTAAGATATGAGAGAAATCAGTAGTCTCAACTTTAAATCCTGCTTACCTCTATATTACCCCATTTAGAACCAGACAAGCTTGTAGAAAGCAATGAAGGATTCAATGTAAATTATTTTTAATAGCCAGAACTACTTTTGTTTTAGTACTCATGTTTTCATCTGTTTCACTTGCCTAGCTGTCTCCAAAAAGACTTTGTAAGCAAAAAATGCAATCAAATTTGTATAAGAACTTACATTAACTTAAAAAAAATTCATAATTTCACTTGCATGAATGAGAACACGGCTGCCTTTAAATATCCATCATTATTAGCATTGATGAAAAAAAGAACATGTGCTGAAAGGAAAAAAATAAATTTGTGGTAAAAATGCAAGTCAAACTGGTTGGTGTGCCCTAGTTGTATTTCTAATGGTGAAATATTTAAACTGAGTTTTATTCTTTAAAATTCTCAGATGCAGATCGACATTGTGAACTTGCTGGAAATCCTCTGAAGATAAAAAGCACCAGAAAACCACTGTCATGTATCATTGGGTATTTAGGTGGGTATCTGCCTCCAGAGAATAATGAACCAAATGAACATTCAGTGCATACTGATACTTAAAAATCCTATATGCATGGAATGAGAGATTTATGCTTTTAGTAACAAGAAAATTGTAGTATTAATAAATTAGTAAAAATTCTAGTTCCCTATCTGGCAAAACTGCATGATTGAACTTGCATGATGTAGGCAGGCGGCCTTCTGATACTGGTTTAAAATGGCAGCGTGAAACATGATGTAATTTAAAAGATGGAAAACAGTCTGTTGGTCTAAATAAAAAAAATAAGTGCTCAAAGGGGAGATACTCAGTATGCTCAGTGCTGCTCTGCTGTGCCCCTTGAATCCACTTGTAATACTCTTATGTACTTAAAAGGAGACCTCAGCCACACCGAGACACATCTTTTAGTTTGATAACATAATTTTAAAAGATGCGATGAAATCTGTACTGAGATCACATCCAAGAAGACAATGAACTCAGCTAAGAAAATGGGGAGAGGAGAAATTCTAGTAATTGTGATTCCTTATTAAAAAAAATCAAAATTGTCTTCTTTGCAAGGAACCACCAGTGATTAAATATTTACACAGTCATACAAGAGTCAGGATGCCCCAGAGCTTTTTATTAATCCTCAAATGAATATAGAAATCAATCAGTTGGTCAGAGGAGGAGTGAGTAATTCTGCAGTGTATTAATTCCATTCTACAGAAATGAATCTGAGGGTAGAGATCAGTCTTGATGTTTTGCTCACAATTTCCATCATAGAATCTCAGAATGGTTTAGGTTGGAAGGGACCTTAAAGTTCCCCAAGTCCAACCCCCCTGCCATGGTCAAGGACCCCTCCCACCAGACCAGGTTGCTCAAAGCCCTGTCCAACCTGACTTTGAACACTTCCAGGGAGAGGCCATCCACAACTTCCCTGGATAACCTGTGCCAGTGTCTCACCACCCTCACAGTAAAGAATTTCTTCCTAATATCTAGTCTACATCTACCCACTTCCAACTTAAAACCATTTCCCCTTCTATCGTTTCCTGCCCTTGTAAAAAGCCCCTCCCCAGCTTTCCTGCAGCCTCCTTTCAGGTACTGGAAGGCTGCAATGTTTCCCTGGAGCCTTCTCTTCTCCAGGCTGAACAACTGCAGGAGTTTGGGGTTTTTTTGTACTAGAACAAAGTAGACAGTAAGACTCTCTTGACTTACTGAAATAGAAATCAGCTATTAATAAAGTTATAACTGTTCTTCCAGAAGATCAGTTTTAACAAAATCCAAGTTTCAGAAAACTGGATAATGAAGATTTACTGCCCATTCTCACTGAATTTGATTCCTCCTGTCCTGGAGTTTAAGAAAAAAAACAGTGATAATTTTCTACAGGCATCCCAGCTGTGTGCATTATGTATGTTGTCATTAGAGTGGATGGAAAAAGGGCTGCTTTGATAATTCAGTGGAGCTGTGGTTGTGAGGGGACAATCTGGCAGGAGATGTATGGATCATCTGGCTGACCTCATCTGTGCAGTCAAAAGAAGAAATAGCAATATGTGTAATTGTAGAAGAAACTGCGTGTTTTTAGTGCCAGGTTATTTAGTCAGTGAGATGTCGTCTTGATACCTCTGGAAGCAGAAGTCTGTAGGTTGAATGGGAGTAAATGAATGAACAGTGTAGGATAGCATTATGTGTGCTTAGGTGAAGGTTTTGTAGAACATTAATAGTTCTAAAATATACCAGGTATCTGCAGAGTCCACTTAGCATTTGACTATATGGGAAGTGAAGTGATCTCACTACAGTTGAAGGTAAATTATGTGTGTCACAGGGATATGAAGGCTACCCAGTGTAGCTGTGGACATGCATCTGAATTAGCTGTATAAGGATGGATAGAAAATGGCTTTTTGTTTGCCATTTAGCTTGGTGGGGTTTTTTTTAGTTTAGTTTGTGACTTTGTTTGTGATCTTTGTTTGCATGCTACAGTGAATAAGTAGTGCTTGAATTATTTTTCTCAAAATTTAGTATTAACTATCATGTCATAGTTTATACAGGAGATATTTATATTTTTTTAAAAATTATTTCCATGCCATTCCACAGACATTTATATGAATACAGTTAACTATGTCTCTCAGGGCACGACAATTTTCATCCCTATTGGTAAGGCAGTGAGGATTTCAGTGCCCTGCTTCCCTTTATCCCCATTCTGCTTCTTGGCTGCCAGCTCCACAGGTGAGGTGGGTTAAGCATTAAAAGTAGGCCCTGTCCTCTAGGGAGCTGGGGCTAATCCCCTGTAATCACTTCAGTCGTCACTGTGCTTACTAAACAAACCCCCTAAGTTGAGCCCCTGGCTAATTAAATGTCCTATATTACCTCCTAGTTATGAGGAAACCAGGCTAACATTTCCAGCTGGGATGCATGTGGAGGAGATGAGATGAGAGAGGTGCAGCTGCTTAAGCACCTCTGGAATCCAGGATGCTTACGTAAGCGACTCAGTAGGAGACATCTACTTTGTTTGCTTTGGTTTTCTTTTTTTTAACCTTAGTGACATTAGGGAACATGGGGAAACGTTTTAAAGTTGTTACTGCTATTTACTTGTTTGAGGATGCAACCTGGTCTTATAATACTGGTTCCTAATAAGTCATTCAATTACTGTTTCTCATTGCTGTTTTATTTTTGTTTCAGAAGTGATCATGCAATCTGAGTCTGGCCAACTGGTTATTTGTTGTGTGGCTAAAGGGATAATTTGAGTTATTTGGATGTTATAGTTAATTCTCAAAGTTAGGAGAATGTGCAGGTGGAGAGGAGATTTTCAATGAAGTACTAGGCAATAGAACAAGAATAAGAGCAGCAG